GCTGTAGCTCGTTGTCTCTGATTGGGACCCATACTTAGGCAGCATGTTTTCACTAGTCTTTGTGGGATCTTGTTCTGTATAGGTTTGTGTTGGTGAACCTTTAGACTTCACGTATCGTTTTGTTATGGTTAAAGTACTCATTAAAAGATGTACGTTTATCACGCTGCGCCTTGGTCCGTTTCTTCTCATAACGAACGTGACAGAAGATCCCACCAAAACAGGACCAAGCAGCGTGTCCAGGAGCAGACAGCCTGGACTTGGGAGGAGATCCTGGACGGGAAGGGATCCTGGACCTGGGAGGAAATCCAGGCCGGAATGGATCGCCGTCCGTGGGAGGAGACTGTGGAGGCACGCCATAGAGAGGAGCAGCGGCGCCAACCGTGCCGACGTCGGACACGCAAGAGGCAACCCCAATACATTTTTTTGGGGGGGGCACACGGCGTGGACGACGAGGCGGCAGGAGGCAGCGACAGGGCGAAGCTGCAGACTAGGAGAGGAGGCCACCAGGTTTGGGGGGCTGGAAGGGTGGTTGGCGGAGCCTAGAGGTAGAGCAGAGCCAACTCCCCGTACTCAGGCTAGGCAGCGTGAGACTGGGCAGGTTCTGAGTTATGCGGAGCTGCGTACTGTGCCGCGAGTGTGCCGGCACAGTCCTGTACGTCCTGTGCTAGCACCACGCACGTGTCGTGCTAAGGTGGGCATGCAGCTAGGACGGAGTGTGCCGGCTCAATGCTCGTGGCCTCCAGTACCCCTCCTCGGGCCCGGATATTCTGCGCCAGTGCCACGTGCTGTAGTGCCAGTACGAGTGCACAGCCCTGTACGTCCTGTGCTGATGCCTCACACAGAGTGTGTGGAGATAGGCATTCAGCCAGGACGGGTTGTGTCAGCTCTTCGCTCCAGGCCTCCAGTCTGTCTCCACAGTCCAGTCCGGCCTGTTCCTGCTTCCCGCACTAAGATAGTGGTGCGTGTTCCCAGTCCGGCCCGGCCCGTTCCTGCTCCCCGCACTAAGCTAGTGGTGCGTGTTCCCAGACCGGCCCGGCCCGTTCCTGCTCCCCGCACTAAGCTAGTGGTGCATGTTCCCAGTCCGGCCTGGCCCGATCCTGCTCCCCGCACCAAGCCAGTGTTGCGTGTTCCCAGTCCGGCCCGGCCCGTTCCTGCTCCCCGCACCAAGCCAGTGGTGCGCGTCGCCAGCCCGGTCCGGCCTGTTCCTGTCCCTCGCGCCAAGCCAGTGGTGCGTGTTCCCAGTCCGGCCCGGCCCGTTCCTGCTCCCCGCACCAAGCCAGTGTTACGTGTTCCCAGTCCGGCCCGGCCCGTTCCTGCTCCCCGCACCAAGCCAGTGGTGCGCGTCGTCAGCCCGGTCCGGCCTGTTCCTGTCCCTCGCGCCAAGCCAGTGGTGCGCGTCGTCAGCCCGGTCCGGCCCGTTCCTGCTCCCCGCACCAAGCCAGTGGTGCGCGTCGTCAGCCCGGTCCGGCCCGTTCCTGCTCCCCGCACCAAGCCAGTGGTGCGCGTCGTCAGCCCGGTCCGGCCTGTTCCCTCTCCCCGCACCAAGCCAGTGGTGCGTGTGTCCAGTCCGGCACGGCCAGTGCCTGATCCACCGGTGCCTGGACCGGTGGAGCCAGAGCAATCCGCTCCACCGGGGTCCAGTCCAGCTCCGGCCAGCGGCTCCAGTCCAGAGCCTGTACGGTTTGATCCACCGTCGTCGGGTCCAGCTCCAGTCAGCGGTGCCAGACCAGATCAGGGGCGCAACGGGGAAGTGGAGAGAAAGTGGTGGTCACGCCCGGAGCCGGATCCGCCTCCGAGACGTAATGCCCACCCGGTCCCTACCCTGTTGTGTTTGTGTGGCGCGGTCGCAGTCCGCGCCTTTGGGGGGGGGGGGGGTACTGTCACGCCCTGGCTCTAGGGACTCTGAAATGTTGAGCCAGGGTGTGTAGTTTCTATGTGTTTGTTCTATGTTGTGTTTTCTATGTTTAGATTCTAGATCGTGTTTTCTATGTTGGCCGGTTGGTTCCCAATCAGAGGCAGCTGTAGCTCGTTGTCTCTGATTGGAAACCATACTTAGGCAGCCTGTTTTCACTAGTCTTTGTGGGATCTTGTTCTGTATAGGTTTGTGTTGGTGAACCTTTAGACTTCACGTATCGTTTTGTTATTTTGTTATGGTTAAAGTACTCATTAAAAGATGTACGTTTATCACGCTGTGCCTTGGTCCGTTTCTTCTCATAACGAACGTGACAGACGCCTTGATAAGTTCCTTTCCTGAGGATGGCTCACCCCTCACAGTTCTGGGTGACTTTAACCTCCCTACGTCTACCTTTTACTCATTTCTCTCTGCCTCCTTCTTTCCACTCCTCTCCTCTTTTGACCTCACCCTCTCACCATCCCCCCCTACTCATAAGGCAGGCAATACGCTTGACCTCATCTTTACTAGATGCTGTTCTTCTACTAATCTCACTGCAACTCCCCTCCATGTCTCCGACCACTACTTTGTATCCTTTTCCTCTCGCTCTCCTCCAACACTACTCACTCTGCCCCTACTCAGATGGTAATGCGCCATCGCAACCTTCGCTCTCTCTCTCCCGCTACTCTCTCCTCTTCCATCCTTTCATCTCTTCCCTCTGCTCAATCCTTCCCCCTCCAAATCTCCTGATTCTGCTTCCCCTCAAACCTCCCTCCTCCCTTCTGCACTTTACTCTCCCCCATCCTCCCCCCCCCCTTTCCCCCCCCTCCCCCCCCCTCCTGCCCCGTGGTTGACGACTCTTGCGACTAAGAACGGGCCTCCGGCACGGGGAAATGGAGGAAAACTAGACTCCCTGGGACCTGCTTTTCACTCACCCCTCTCTACATTTTCTTCCTCTGTTTCTGCTGCTAAAGCCACTTTCTACCACTCTAAATTTCAAGCCTCTGCCTCTAACCCTAGGAAGCTCTTTGCCACCTTCTCCTCCCTGCTGAATCCCCCCCCCCCCCCCCCCCCCCTCCCTCCTCCCTCTCTGTGGATGACTTCGTCAACCATTTTGAAAAGAAGGTTGACGACATCCGATCCTCGTTTGTTAAGTCAAATGACACTGCTGGTCCTGCTCACACTGCCCTACCCTATGCTTTGACTTCTTTCTCCCCTCTCTCTCCAGATGAAATCTTGCGACTTGTGCCGGCCGGCCGCCCAACAACCTGCCCGCTTGACCCTATTCCCTCCTCTCTTCTCCAGACCATCTCCGGTGACCTTCTCCCTTACCTCACCTCGCTCATCAACTCATCCTTGACCGCTGGCTATGTCCCTTCCGTCTTCAAGAGAGCGAGAGTTGCATCCCTTCTAAAAAAAACTACACTCGATCCCTCCGATGTCAACAACTACAGACCAGTATCCCTTCTTTCTTTTCTCTCCAAAACTCTTGAGCGTGCCGTCTTTAGCCAACTCTCTTACTATCTCTCTCAGAATGACCTTCTTGATCCAAACCAGTCAGGTTTCAAGACTGGTCATTCAACTGAGACTGCTCTCTGTGTCACGGAGGCTCTCCGCACTGCTAAAGCTAACTCTCTCTCCTCTGCTCTTGTCCTTCTAGACCTGTCTGCTGCCTTTGATACTGTGAACCATCAGATCCTCCTCTCCACCCTCTACGAGTTGGGCATCTCCGGCGCGGCTCACTCTTGGATTGCGTCCTACCTGACCGGTCGCTCCTACCAAGTGGCGTGGCGAGAATCTGTCTCCGCACCACGTGCTCTCACCACTGGTGTCCCCCAGGGCTCAGTTCTAGGTCCTCTCCTATTCTCGCTATACACCAAGTCACTTGGCTCTGTCATATCCTCACATGGCCTCTCCTATCATTGCTACGCAGACGACACACAACTAATCTTCTCCTTTCCCCCTTCTGATAACCAGGTGGCGAATCGCATCTCTGCATGTCTGGCAGACATATCTGTGTGGATGACGGATCACCACCTCAAGCTGAACCTCGGCAAGACAGAGCTGCTCTTCCTCTCGGGGAAGGACTGCCCGTTCCATGATCTCGCCATCACGGTTGACAACTCCGTTGTGTCCTCCTCCCAGAGTGCAAAGAGCCTTGGTGTGACCCTGGACAACACCCTGTCGTTCTCCGCTAACATCAAGGCGGTGACCCGATCCTGTAGGTTCATGCTCTACAACATTCGGAGAGTACGACCCTGCCTTACACAGGAAGCGGCACAGGTCCTAATCCAGGCACTTGTCATCTCCCGTCTGGATTACTGCAACTCGCTGTTGGCTGGGCTCCCTGCCTGTGCCATTAAACCCCTACAACTCATCCAGAATGCCGCAGCCCGTCTGGTATTCAACCTTCCCAAGTTCTCTCACGTCACCCCGCTCCTCCGCACACTCCACTGGCTTCCAGTTGAAGCTCGCATCTGCTACAAGACCATGGTGCTTGCCTACGGAGCTGTGAGGGGAATGGCACCTCCGTACCTTCAGGCTCTCATCAGTCCCTACACCCAAACGAGGGCATTGCGTTCATCCACCTCTGGCCTGCTGGCCCCACTACCTCTGCGGAAGCACAGTTCCCGCTCAGCCCAGTCAAAACTTTTCCCTGCTCTGGCACCCCAATGGTGGAACAAGCTCCCTCACGATGCCAGGACAGCGGAGTCACTCACCACCTTCCGGAGACACTTGAAACCCCACCTCTTTAAGGAATACCTGGGATAGGATAAAGTAATCCTTCTACCCCCCCTTACCCCACCCCAAAGAAAGAAAAAAATAGATATATATATATATATATATTGTAAAGTGGTTATCCCACTGGCTATAAGGTGAATGCACCAATTTGAAAGTCGCTCTGGATAAGAGCGTCTGCTAAATGACGTAAATGTAAACGTAAATGTAAAATGTAATGGTTAGAGCCAGTTTGTGCTGTTCTGTGAAGGGAGTAGTTCTGTGCTGGGGCACCTTGGGGTCATTCCCCACCTCTTCGGCAGCCGTTGCTGAGGTCATATGGGTCAATGTATGGGGTCACAGAGGGATCAAGGGTCAGGGCTCAACTCACCTGGCGTGGGGTGTGAGGCTCCTGGTAGCTGGGGAGGATCTTGAGCACCACGCTGCCGCTGGCCTCCTTCAGCATCTGCTGGAGCACCTTGGGGTCATTGCCCACCTCTTTTGCATTCACCTCCTTGATAATATCACCCACGTAGAGGAGGCCCTGCTGGTCGATCATCCCGCCGTGAAGGATGCGGGCGATCACCAGCTCTCCACTCTCCACCCGAAATGTCACACCCTACAAAGACAAAGATGTAGCACTTTATTTTACATTACTGTTTCCATTGGTTTTTACCTACCTGAGCCGAGTCAAAGAAGAGGAAAACATCCATGACCATGAATAGAAGTACTAACAAAGGTTTAACAAGGACCACCATTTTCTTTCTTAGTTTCATAAAGAACCACACCACAACTCAACAAACAGTTGCACTGTAAACCCCTGTAAAGTAAGCCATTTCAAAATGGCTGCCAGGGTGTCCAGCATTTCTTGTCCCTCACTGAGTCTTACCAGGTGCTCTCCAGACACCTTGCGGATGCCCACCATCCTGACTGCGTCTGGGGGCACGGGCTGGTTGTTGAAGGCAGCGTCCATGAAGGAACAGGGGCTGGGAGGAGGAGTCTCAAAGGTCTTGGAGGCCACCGAATCATGGGTTTCCATGAGAGACTGTGGACCAATAGGGGCAGAGGATCATGATGTTGATGATGGCATGGCACATACTGTAGGATAGAATTGTTCTAGTAAGACAGTAATATTCACAACTGATCTTAAGAAGACTGCATTGGATACATTAAACAAAGTAGCATGGCATCCATGGTAGCTATATCAGTTAGGTCAGTTTCCCCTCAATAAGGTATTTCTTTGAGAATGGAGTAGAAGTCTCAGAGTTGGAGTGCTGATCTAGGATCAGTTTAGCCTTTTAGATCATGATGAATAAGATTGCATGGACATGAGGGACCTGATTCTAGATCAGCTATGATATAAAGCATGAACTAAAACATTGAATGTGTCGACCTGGAAGTGTGGCTCCTTCAATATGCGTGCCAGTTCGTCTGCGGCCTTGCTCCTGTGCGTGAGGGGAGTGAGCTCCTTCAGGATGTCCTGCACCAGCTCCATGTTGTTTTCACTCACTGCCTCCAGCTTGGGCTCCTCCAGTCTCTCATGGGCCTGCGGGTAGCAGGGAGACGGGAACTGAAGGTCAAAAAGTTATTGTTAATAACTAGCAATCTTTGTTGGTCATTTTAGCCCATTGCAGTAATTATTTATATGTACTATTTAGCAGACACGTTTATCCAAAGGAACTTACAGTGCAGTGAGTGTATATATTTTAGTATTCAAACCCACGACCCTGGCATTGCTAGCACCATGCTCTTACCAACTGAGCCACACAGGACCATTAGTACCAAATTATAGAAAATGTATGCCAAATCTCACGACATACTTAGGCCGTACAAATAGTCACATAGTATTTACTATTAACTCAGTTATTTTCTAGCAATAAAGTCAATGTACTGTAAAAAGACAGAAAACACCTAAAGAAACACAGTGCAGCAACAAACCATTTTGAGTCACGATTCACCTAAAAATATGCGTCTGCCCTAAAACAGTCATATACACTGTGTGTTTTCTCCTTGTGCTGTGGAGCATCAATATTTTAGTTTATATGAATATTTCACTTTGTCTCTCGCACCGAGGGCACTGGGACTACTTTCCTGAACATGTCCTCACCTTTTAACACAACTGGCCTCTGACCCACCACCCATGTTGGACTTGTGAACTAAATCATAATGTGCTCCTGCCCCTCAATCTCCAAGAGTTTATTTCCCATTAACAGAAAATCCTCTAATTCATTTAGAAGTTTGAAACGCTGTATAGTGCTTAATTAAATGGTTCCACTTTATATCAACTTATGCTGGCTTCAACCATTATACAGTAGATACAGTGTAATTACAATGTTGAGGCAGTGTTACAGTGTTGAGGCAAGTACAGTGTAATTACAGTGTTGATTCAAATTAGCACCAGAGAAATTAATAAGAACACTAAGAAGTCAACTCAAATAAGGATCTCTATGCATAGCAGTTCATCTGCTGCTGCATAGACTATAAAGATAGATCATATATCATTTACCATTCCACCACCCTGCTACATTACTCCCAAACAGACACAAATAGACATGTTGTTTTGTGGGTAGATTCACAGAGACAGTAAATCCCACAGAGACATGCTCCCATGGGCCTGTTGTCTGGTCTGGCAGCTATGGCTGTTTGTTTACGTGAGGGAAGGGAACGCACCCCTGCTGTTGAACAGGATATGAATACACACAAACACTCGCTCGGACGCAGAAACACAGACAGACAGACAGACAGACATACATACAGGCAGACAGAAAAAGAGACCCACAAACACACAGACACACACTCAAAGAGACACACACACCCACACCCACACAAACACCTCCACTCACACACACACTGTGTAGGATTCTTCTGCAGGAGGACTGGGTTTACTCAATGTGCTTTGGCACGGGTCTGGCAACCTGGTGGAGCAAGCTGTCAGAAAGTGGCCCTTGGACAGCAGAACAACACAAATACTGCTGCTTAGATCAGGGGGTGGGGAGACAGACAGCCAGAAGGTTCAGCCCCCGTGGAACAGCTACCTTGGTTCTCTGCTGTTGTTGTCTGGCTATGATAGCTACTTCACAGGCAAATTGAAAATATGGGAGGCTGAAGAATCCAAATAGAGCGAAAGACCTGCATGTGCATTTTAAGTCTTTGTTGTCTTGTTTAAAATACATTCTGTAGACCACCTAAATTGACGAGAATAGCTACCTTTAGTCTCTGTTGTTGTTGTCTGGCTTTGTAAGCTACTTTATATGCAAATTGGAATATTATATGGGAGCATTGACAAAACAAACACAGAGAGGACTGTATGCATACACTCTTAGAAAAAAAGGGGTTCCAAAAGGGTTCTTCAGTTGTCCCCATAGGATAATCCTTTTTGGTTCCAGGTAGAACCCTTTTTAGTTCCAGGGAGAACCCTTTTGGGTTCCATATATAACCCTCTGTGGAAAGGGTTCTACATGGAACCGAACCAAAAGGGTTCTACCTTGAACCAAAAAGGGTTCTTCAAAGGATTATCCTATGGGGACAGCCGAAGAACCTTTATAGGTTCTAGATAGCACCTTTTCTTCTAATAGTGTAGCATATTAAGTCTGTGTCGTCTCATTTAAAAGACATAGGCCACCTCAATACGTGAGTGAGAGCAAGAGCAATTGCCCGCTTGTTATCTCATGAGCTACTTCAATGTTTCAATAAAGGAGCAATAGTTCTGATAAGGAGCCAAGCAGTAGCTGCCACGTTGATAATTGATCATGATGTACTGTAGCTTTGTGAATGGCTTTTGGCATAGCTGCTCTATGAAGAATACCATGAAGAATAATACAATAGACCTGCTTGGAGGTCAATGGCAAGCTACAGTACACTCTGTTCAAAACGCCAGTTTCAATACTTGAACATAGAACAATGTTCTTACAGCATGCATCTGTGAATTAATCCTTTAGGAGTTCTCCATATATAGATAGACAAAATGGGCACACACACACACACAGATAGACACACACACGCACAAATAATAAATCTCCCCCAGAATATAAATCAGCCTTGAGAGAAGCGGAGTGGAGGACAGAGTGAGAGCGAGAGAGAGATGCAACTGGATGCATTTGATGCAGTGCTCCCCAAAGAGCTCTCATCTCCTTCTCGCTTCCAGAAAACATTCTGTCTGAATGCTCTGAATCGGAGAGAGAGAAAGACCACACAGCATTAGTGAGCCTGCGAGTCTGTTCTTTCTTTGAGAGCATGGCAAAGAACAGAGTATCCCCCAGGATATGGGACTGTAAAAGCTCTGAGCTTCTGACAGTTCCTAGGTCTCAACTGCATTTGAATAGATGATGTAACAATCAGAACTATGTTGTAATTTTAATAATTACAATGTTAATGTCAAGTTTGATTTGTTAATTTCCTTCTCAAGGTTCTAAACTTAAATTGACTTTTTATTATGTTGTTTATCAACTGTGAACTTTTCATTCTAATAGCTTTTGTAAAATTAAAATATTTTTAAGGGCGTTGAATTTGGAATCATGCACTTTTCTTTTCGGGAAAATTAGGACGTTTAAATTCTGGGATAAAAAAGACAACTCAGAGCTCAGTGGGGCGCTGCTCTCAATAGCCAGTCTGCTACTCCCAACTCCCTTTATCCCTCACCCTCCTCCTTCCCTCCATCCTCAGTCTCTTCAAAAGCTGAAAAGCTCCAAATTGAACTCAAACGAAGAACACTTATCCCATATACAGTGGGGAGAACAAGTATTTGATACACTGCCGATTTTGCAGGTTTTCCTACTTACAAAGCATGTAGAGGTCTGTAATTTCTATCATAGGTACACTTCAACTGTGAGAGACGGAATCTAAAACAAAAATCCAGAAAATCACATTGTATGATTTTTAAGTAATTAATTTGCATTTTATTGCATGACATAAGTATTTGATCACCTACCAACCAGTAAGAATTCCGGCTCTCACAGACCTGTTAGTTTTTCTTTAAGAAGCCCTCCTGTTCTCCACTCATTACCTGTATTAACTGCACCTGTTTGAACTCGTTACCTGTATAAAAGACACCTGTCCACACACTCAATCAAACAGACTCCAACCTCTCCACAATGGCCAAGACCAGAGAGCTGTTTAAGGACATCAGGGATAAAATTGTAGACCTGCACAAGGCTGGGATGGGCTACAGGACAATAGGCAAGCAGCTTGGTGAGAAGGCAACAACTGTTGGCGCAATTATTAGAAAATGGAAGATGTTCAAGATGACGGTCAATCACCCTCGGTCTGGGGCTCCATGCAAGATCTCACCTCGTGGGGCATCAATGATCATGAGGATGGTGAGGGATCAGCCCAGAACTACACGGTAGGACCTGGTCAATGACCTGAAGAGAGCTGGGACCACAGTCTCAAAGAAAACCATTAGTAACACACTACGCCGTCATGGATTAAAATCCTGCAGCGCACGCAAGGTCCCCCTGCTCAAGCCAGCGCATGTCCAGGCCCGTCTGAAGTTTGCCAATGACCATCTGGATAATCCAGAGGAGGAATGGGAGAAGGTCATGTGGTCTGATGAGACAAAAATATAGCTTTTTGGTCTAAACTCCACTCGTCATGTTTGGAGAAAGAAGAAGGATAAGTACAACCCCATGAACACCATCCCAACCGTGAAGCATGGAGGTGGAAACATCATTCTTTGGGGATGCTTTTCTGCAAAGGGGACAGGACGACTGCACCGTATTGAGGGGAGGATGGATGGGGCCATGTATCGCAAGATCTTGGCCAACAACCTCCTTCCCTCAGTAAGAGCATTGAAGATGGGTCGTGGCTGGATCTTCCAGCATGACAACGACCCGAAACACACAGCCAGGGCAACTAAGGAGTGGCTCCGTAAGAAGCATCTCAAGGTCCTGGAGTGGCCTAGCCAGTCTCCAGACCTGAACCCAATAGAAAATCTTTGGAGGGAGCTGAAAGTCCATATTGCCCAGCGACAGCCCCGAAACCTGAAGGATCTGGAGAAGGTCTGTATGGAGGAGTGGGCCAAAATCCCTGCTGCAGTGTGTGCAAACCTGGTCAAGACCTACAGGAAACGTATGATCTCTGTAATTGCAAACAAAGGTTTCTGTACCAAATATTAAGTTCTGCTTTTCTGATGTATCAAATACTTATGTCATGCAATAAAATTACTTTAAAATCATACAATGTGATTTTCTCACAGTTGAAGTGTACCTATGATACAAATTACAGACCTCTACATGCTTTGTAAGTAGGAAAACCTGCAAAATCGGCAGTGTATCAAATACTTGTTCTCCCCACTGTATGTTGGAAAACTAGTTGCAGTCATCATTAAAAAGAACAGTGGATAAGGCAAGTTATTGTTTTGGTATCTCTTCTCTCACAAGAAAGTGGCTTCTTTGTACTTTTTGGTGAACTTTGTGCCTCATAAGGTTGTACAGAGAAGTTACTTTGTGTCTCATACAGGAAGTTCATAATGTCCTTGAATCAAAACGCCCATGACAATACAGTTGTCTTTTGTTCAAGAAAGCTATAGCCTTATACCGACAAACCCAACACAGTGGAACAGATCCATAGAAAAGTAAGTGCACTGTAGGTATACATATATTCTCACCACAGGACTCTCCATGATGCCCTTGAGGAAGATGAGGTCCAGGTCATTGGCTATGGTGGAGCTGGTGCTGTCACTCAGAGTGTCCAGAACCTGCTGCATAGCTGGAGACAGACACAGGAGAGAAGAGGACAGTTAGGACTACAGGTTACTCACCGTTCCACTTTTCCCCCTGTGCAGTGAATATCATTTTACAAAAATGAATAATTAAGTAAGCTCTTTGCAGCAACTTTTTGAGTGCAGATCTATTATATTGTTTGTATATCTATACTCGCTGGTTTTACACACATACTAACCCTTTGGGAGAGTGCAATGGTTTTCTTTTGATTAGTCACCATTGGTCAGCTCATAAGGAAAATAAACACATAGAGAATGAAGAGAGAGAGAGAGAGAGAGAGAGAGAGGAGAGAGAGAGAGAGAGAGAGATAGAGAGAGAGAGAGAGAGAGAGAGAGAGAGAGAGAGAGAGAGAGAATAGAGATGTTCACCGGAAGCATGAGCAAAATGACCTAGAGAAAAAGTAGACATACAGAGAGAGAGATGAAATGTCTCACATCCTTTCCAAAGCAATCTCACCACTGTCAGTCAATTCCCTGTGAAGTTTATTTCAGTCAGTGGGGACCACATCTCACCTCCCCTCCGTCTCTCTCTCTCTCTTATCTCTCTGCGGTAGAGTCACAGAGAGAGAGTCGGGGCAGCAGGAACTGTACGATCTGAGGAAGTCACGTCAACAACTCCCTTCAAAGCAACTCCACTTGTATAACTAGGAAGGTTGGCAGTGCAGTTCGTCCACTGATTTTATACAACAAAAGGGACACATCATAGTAGTTGACTGACTGACTAACTGACGGACTGTCACTAACTGACTGACTGACTGACTGACTGAGTGGCTTTTATTTAACCAGGTATGTCATTGAGAACACATTTTCTTTTACAATAACGACATTATTCTTCCCTCATTATGCTGGATAGCTTTTCGTTCATCTTCACTGTCTTGTCCCATCCCCAACCTATAGCAATGCATCAGACATGTAAATTGTCAGAGAAGTCACAGTGGGAGTCAACTAGGGCAGGGGTTCTCTAAGTCGTAATGCATATATATACACTACCGTTCAAAAGTTTGAGGTCACTTAGAAATGTCCTTGTTTTCCATGAAAACATACATGAAATGAGTTTGAATAGGAAATATAGCAAAATGCATAGGAAATGTAGTCATTGACAAGGTTAGAAATAATTATTTTTAATAGAAATAATAATTGTGTCCTTCAAAATTTGCTTTCGTCAAAGAATCCTCCATTTGCAGCAGCTACAGAGGAAATTGGTTCCAATCAAGCGCCGTCCACAAGGTATGGCATGGCGAATGCAAAATGGAGTGATAGCCTTCCTCTTCAAGATCCCTTTTACCCTGTACAAATCTCCCACTTTACCACCACCAAAGCACCCCCAGACCATCACATTGCCTCCACCATGCTTGACAGATGGCATCAAGCACTCCTCCAGCATCTTTTCATTTGGTCTGCGTCTCACAAATGTTATTCTTTGTGATCCGAACAACTCAAACTTCGATTTGTCTGTCCATAAAACTTTTTTCCAATCTTCCTCTATCCAGTGTCTGTGTTCTTTTTCCCATCTTAATCTTTTATTTTTATTGGCCAGTCTGAGATATGGCTTTCTCTTTGCAACTCTGCCTAGAAGGTCAGCATCCCGGAGTCGCCTCTTCACTGTTGACGTTGAGACTGGTGTTTTGCGGGTACTATTTAATGAAGCTGCCAGTTGAGGACATGTGAGGCGTCTGTTTCTCAAACTAGACACTCTAATGTATTTGTCCTCTTGCTCAGTTGTGCACCGGGGCCTCCCACTCCTCTTTCTATTCTGGTTAGAGCCAGTTTGCGCTGTTCTGTGAAGGGAGTAGTACACAGCGTTGTACGAGATCTTCCGTTTCTTGGCAATTTCTCGCATAGTTTTAGAACACCTACTCATTCAAAGGTTTTTCTTTATTTTTACTATTTTCTACATTGTAGAATAATAGTGAAGCCTTCATTTCTCAGAACAAGAATAGACTGATGAGTTTCAGAAGAAAGTTATTTGTTTCTGGACATTTTGATTCTGTAATCGAACCCACAACTCAAGAAGGCCAGTTTTATTGCTTCTTTAATCAGCACAACAGTTTTCAGCTGTGCTAACATAATTGCAAAATGGTTTTCTAATGATCAATTAGCCTTTTAAAATGATAAACTTAGATTAACAAACACAACGTGCCATTTGAACACAGGACTGATGGTTGCTGATAATGGGCCTCTGTAAGCCTATGTAGATATTCCATAAAAAATCAGCCGTTTCCAGCTACAATAGCCATTTACAACATTAACAATGTCTACACTGTATTTCTGATCAATTTTATGTTATTTTAATGGACATAAAAATAGCTTTTCTTTAGAAAACAAGGACATTTCTAAGTGACCCCAAACTTTTGAACGGTACTGTATATATATTTTATATCTTGCCGTGGACCCCCCTGCAGTATCTCCGCCGACTGGGGGTCCACGGCCAGATCAAAAAAATAATAAACTGTATACACTACCGCTCAAAAGTTTTAGAACACCTACTCATTCAAAGGTTTTTCTTTATTTTTACTATTTTCTACATTGTAGAATAATAGTGAAGACATCAAAACTATGAAATAACACATATGGAACCAAAAAAGTGTTAAACAAATCAAAATATATTTTATATTTGAGATTCTTCAAATAGCCACCCTTTGCCTTGATGACAGCTTTGCACACTCTTGGCATTCTCTCAACCAGCTTCATGAGGTAGTCACCTGGAATGCATTTCAATTAACAGGTGTGCCTTCTTAAAAGTTAATTTGTGGAATTTATTTCCTTCTTAATGCATTTGAGCCAATCAGTAGTGTTGTGACAAGGTAGGGGGGTATACAGAAGATAGCCCTATTTGGTAAAAGACAAAGTCCATATTATGGCAAGTACAGCTCAAATAAGCAAAGAGAAACGACAGTCCATCATTACTTTAAGACATGAAGGTCAGTCAATACGGAACAAGTGCAGTCGCAAAAACAATCAAGCGCTATGATGAAACTGGGTCTCACGAGGACCGCCACAGGAATGGAAGACCCAGAGTTACCTCTGCTGCAGAGGATAAGTTCATTAGAGTTACCAGCCTCAGAAATTGCAGCCAAAATAAATGCTTCACAGAGTTCAAGTAACAGACACATCTCAACATCAACTGTTAAAATGAGACTGTGTGAATCAGGCCTCATGGTCGAATTGCTGCAAAGAAACCACTACTAAAGGACACCAATAAGAAGAAGAGACTTGCTTGGGCCAAGAAACACGAGCAATGGACATTAGACCGGTGGAAAGTTGTCCTTTGGTCTGGAGTCCAAATTTGAGATTTTTGGTTTCAACCACCCTGTCTTTGTGAGACGCGGTGTGGGTGAACGGATGATCTCTGCATGTGTGGTTCCCACTGTAAAGCATGGAGGAGGAGGTGTTATGGTGTGGGGGTGCTTTGCTGGTGACACTGTCTGTGATTTATTTAGAATTCAAGGCACACTTAACCAGCATGGCTACCACTGGTTTGGTTTGGGCTTAGTGGGACTATCATTTGTTTTTCAACAGGACAATGACCCAACACACCTCCAGGCTGTGTAAGGGCTATTTTACCAAGAAGGAGTGTGAAGGAGTGCTGCATCAGATGACCTGGCCTTCACAATCCCCCGACCTCAACCAAATTGAGATGGTTTGGGATGAGTTGGACCGCAGAGTGAAGGAAAAGCAGCCAACAAGTGCTCAGCATATGTGGAAAGTCCTTCAAGACTGTAGAAAATAGTAAAAATAAAGAATAACCCTTGAATGAGTAGCTGTTCTAAAACTTTTGACCGGTAGTGTATATGCATTACATTTTTTTACTGAATATTACTAACAACAACAGATTAAACACATTTTGGCCAAGGGATCCGTGGAATAAGTTTAAAGGGTGTAATACAATAATACAATGTAATATCATTATATATCATTAATCTACAATTTAGGTTCTTAACCTTGGGCATCATGGGCCTGGGAGGCTCACGGGTATATTGGTATCCACTGCAGTACTCCACCAATTATACATTTTTAACTCAATACTTATTGTATTCCCAAATTTGTAGTTTTTTTATCAAACATAAATGCATTGTAATTTAAACTTTATAAACTGCAACATTTTCTCTCTGCCTCATGGCAAAATATGTAGAATTGCAGGATATTAGCTTCAAAGCTGCAACAACAAAAAATCTCTCTGCCCCCATGACAACATTTGTAGAATTGCAGGAAATTTGCAACATTTTCTCTCCGATGCCAAGAGGCAGGCCTTTAAAATGTTCCTCCCCAGGGCCCTGAGACTTGGTTTGTCCTGCCATGCACTGCCAAAGTCATAGTAAAACTCCTTGTATGCTTTTTCTGTGTCACTCAAGTCAGGGGTGCAACTTTCACTGGGGACGGGGGGACATGTCCCCCCCACATGCTGAAATTGTATTTTTGTTCCCCCTCCAGTTTTATAATTGGAATGTGATACAAAACGAGGCAACTGTGTGTTTTACCACCATGCGGACACCTCCGAGCGGTCGGGTAGGCTGTTTGGAGTGTTTATCCAACTTGATAAAAATTGTAATTATAATTATGTCCCCCCCCACTTCTAAAACCAAAGTTGCGCCCCTGACTCGAGTTGTGTTCTCATTATGAGGGGGTCCATGATATATTTGCTATCATAAAAAGGGGTCCCCGGCCCCAAAAGGTTTGAGAACCCCTGCACTAGAGCTATTTTTCCCATGTCATCACTTGCTAACGAGGCATCATTCCCTAATGAGGGCGTGATATGTAACTCAGAGATGACCTGTCCAACTAGAGCGCAGCTTATCAATTTAATCACCTCCATTAGGAGTGACTGTGCTGCAAATTTGGAGACACAACGACCCTGGATCATTTACTGCCTCCCACTATAATATTGTTTTCTTATAACCACAGATCAAGGATATGATTACCCTACCCTACCAGAGACCGTAAAAAACTATAAAACAGATCCAACCCTTAAAGTCCTACTCCAGTTTTCAGCTAATTTATCACCTGATTTACTTAACAAAAGGCACATCTCAATAGGTGGTCCAGGTAAGTCATGAAATATCACAAGTGTGGGGG